GGTCATTCGACCCCCAAAGGGGTCACGACCCACAGGTTGAGAACCGCTGATATAACATAAAGCCATTTTAACCAGTTTTAATTGTATAATTCTGTGGCATTATGTACATTCATATTGTTGTGTGACCATCACCACCAACCATCTCCATAACTTTTTCATCTTCTCCAACTGAAACTCCACACCCATTAAACAACAACTACCCATTTCCTCCTCTCCCCAGCTCCTGGCAACCACCATTCTACTTTCGGTATGAATTTGACTACTCTAGGAATCTCATATAAGAATAATCATACAATATTTGTCCTCCGGTGACTGGCTGATTTCACTTAACATAATGTCTCTTCAAGGTTCATCTATGTTGTAGCATTGCCTCACTGTTGTTTAATGAAACTATTTTCATAAGTGTGCCCTGCAGAAATATTATTTCTTGAAGTATCTCCATAGATAGATGAAGTAGGTGTCACCATCTCTAGGTTGCAGCTGGAGAAACCAAGTTGAAGAGAAGGTAAGTGCATCAGATACAATTGGCTGCTTAATCCAAATTTATCCTCCTCGTACTCCCTTCCTCCCATCCTCTTTCTTTTGGCAGAGCCCGTTCTGTTCTTGATTCACTGGCCAGCTATGCACACAGGCAAGTGGCTACTCTTCGCCCCAGGATATACCTCGATTAGTTTGAATCAACCGTAGTCATTTCAGTTCCTTTGCCAATGACTGGTGTAGAAGATCAGCAGGTGATAAACTTTTGGCCCACGAGGCATGAAAGCTGACGCAAGGCTTCCAAAGAGGGTTTCTTTACTTTTACAAATAGACGCAAGAAGCAGCTTGCTATTTGCTGTTTTTCAATGTGGTGGCCATGTGTGTAGGTGATGCCTGGCGCTCAGCAGCCACTTTGCCACCATGAGAGGAATTAGCCAAACAATACACTGAAGATGGCAAAGGAGAGAGATGGAAGGAATCTGGATCCTTTATGATAGGAATGAACAGATGAATTAACCAACTCTGGAATACCCACTGTGAATCTTGCTATTTCTGTGAGATCATAAATTTCCTTATTGTTTATTTATTTTTAAAAAATATATATTTTTATTGACTTCAGAGAGGGAAGGCAGGAAGGAGGGAGGGAGAGAGAGAGAGAGAGAGAGAGAGAGAGAGAAACATCAAAGATGAGAATTATTGATTGGCTGCCTCCTGCATGCCCCCTAATGGGGATTGAGCCCACAACCCAGGCATGTGCCCTTGACTGGAATTGAGCTGGAACCCTTCAGTCCGAAGGCCGATGCTCTATCCACTAAACCAAACCAGCCAGGGCAAATTTCCTTATTGTTTAAAACACTTTTGAGTTTTCTGTACTTGCAGCCAAAAGCACATTAAGAATTAAAACTAAACAGGAACTAATGCAGAGGGCCCAAGTCTCACACCTTTTCCCACTGGATAATGCTAACAATGCAGAAGACATTACTTTGTTATGAGATCACCCAAACCACAGCATTATTTCTCAACTGCTGACTCTTGGAGTTGATTTCTAGGACAAGAAAACGGAGGTTGATTTTGACAAAAAGGAGGGAGGCCTGGAGAAAATGAAGAGACATAGCTCACAGAGGGACAATTGCCTAGGGAGTCACCAATGGAAGGGTGGTGAACACTGTCGGTTGGGAATGGCCCTCTGAAACATGACAGTCAGGTGTGGTGAAAGGGAATGACAGAAAGAAAGTCAGCCAGTGTAGCTGTAAGAGCTTTCTCCCCAACGGGAAACCCAGCCAACCTCAGAGAAGTTGTGTGTCGTCAAGTAGAAGACAAGGGCATGACATGGTGACCAGAAAAAGGGCTTTGAGATTCTACAACTGCAGAAGGCTGATAGAGAACTAACATAATTATAATCGCACACTAAGCAGATACGAAAGAATTCCCTGTTTTTGCTTAAGCTAGTTTATGTCACTTGCAACTAAAGGAATCTTGACTAATAAATCCTCTCTAGTCTCTAGGGACTATCCACTCTTGCAAATCAGTTACTCAATTTACTAAAAGAGTAATTTTTCATGTGGTCTTCATGGGAGAAGTGCAAAAAGGTAATGAAGAGGAAAGAGGAGTCAGAATTAGGGCAACAGCCTAAAAAAGGCGCCCCCCCCCCTGTTTTTTTGTTTTCTTCAATCCCCAAATCCGCAGGCAAGGGCATGCCTTATTGCCTCACACAAGCCGTTTAATTGTTCTTAGAGGATGGAGTTCAGGCAAATGATCTGCGGAGTGACCTTTGACAAGTCATTGTTCCTCCCTGGGTTCTATTTCTTTTCTTGCAGGGTGTGTGGAGGGGGCCATTTCTTTATCAGCACAATGAGGGCATAGGGTTGGATGTGATATTTATTTAATAAATGATTAATAAAAGCTGTGTGCTTAACATTCTGTTAGGTGTTTTCCCACATATCACTCATTTGATCCCTACCGTGTCCCTACGCAGCAGGTGATATTAGCCACTTTATGGTCCTTTTCTGCACTAACATTCTATTGACACTTGTTGAGCTCCTTCTCTTGTGCCTGCAATACACTCCGAGGGCACAAGTCACATGTGGCAAATTCCTTGTTTTCAAGGGGCTTATGATCAGATTGCAACAGTAAAACTATTCGACCGTTATGGTCTGAATGGCACTGACCATAAATGCAAGAGGAGTTACATTCGTTATCTACTGCTATGTAACGAACTACTACAAATTTATTAGCTTAAAACAACACACATTGATTTGCTCACAGTGTCTGTGAGTCAGGAGTCTGGGCTCAGTTTAGCTGGGCCGTCTGCAGGTTCTCAACACCATCCCGCAACAAGGTGTTGACTGGGCTGTGTTCCTTAGTGCAACCCAGTATCCTCCTCCAAGCTCATGTCGTTTTGGGCAGAATTTCTTGCAGGTATAGGACTGAGGGTCTAACTTTCTTGCTGTCAGGTGGGGGCAAATCTCAGTTCCCGGAGGCTCCTACAGTTCCCTACCGCGGGCCTCCTCTGTAGACGGTTCACGGCAATGCAGTTTTCTTCCTCAAGGTCAACTGGGGACTCTCTTGCTCCAGTCTCCTAAGGACTGTAAGGCAATGCAACTGTAATCATGTGAGTGACACATCATCACCTTTGCCATATCCTATTGCCAAGAAGCAAGTCACAGGTCTTGCCCAAACTCAAGGGGAGGGGATGTCACATGACTTGCCTGGGGGGTGAAGGGCGTTACAGGAAGGTGTGTATTTGCCGAAGGAATTTAGAAAAGAGAAATGTCAGAGTAAACTGGAATCCTCAGGGGAGGCTTTATAGAGAGACTTTTTAAGCTGGAGCTTGAAGAATGAGTAGAATTTAGACCAGCCAAGGGTGAACAAGAAGAGGCATGACAAGAACCAAAGGACATATGAGCAGGTGGGACTCTCACCTAAATATTTCCTACACAAAAAGCTAATTGAAACCTACTGACTTCTTACATCACAATGGGTAGGAGAAACTTTTTTTTTTTTTTTAACTAAAAGGAAGCTGTATTGTGAAGAGAGTCCTGGCCTTGATATCAGAAGATTTGGGTCCAAGGTTTAGCTCTGCTATGAACTGGCAGTGTGCTTGGGGCCTGCTGGTTATCTGAGCCTCGCTTCTTATGAACGCTCCTACTTCCGTGTCATTGTGAGGACGAAACAAGCTCTTGGATGGGAAGTACTCTGCATGCTGTCCAGGTCCTATTTCCAAAAGCAGCTTTATCACCTTCCAAGACCCCACCCCCAACTCTCTCTGGGTCTCCAGCTCTCTGCCTCCTCTCTTTCACCTGGTCCTCTTCCTCATAAAGTCTCCTTAATGAGGGAAGAGGCACATTCTCTGGGTTCTGGCCTTGGCACTCATCTCATTTCACCACAGGCTCTGCCTTGGGACTCTTATTCCCCACCACCTATAACCCAGAGCCCATGGCTCTCAAATCTATGCTCTGGCCCAGAGCCCTTTCCATTCTGTGTCCAACCAATTGCTGAGCAATTTCTCTTGGGTCTCCTGCAGGCCTCAAATCCAACATACCCCAAACTGAACTCATTATCTTCCCAGCAAACCTCTTCCTCTTCCTTTCCATGCCCGGTCTTGGGGAAATCGCACCAAGTCGGGAATTTTATGACATTCTTTCCTCCCCACCTTCATGCCTGAGATCTAAGTGGCTAAGTCCTTCCTCTCCATCACCACTGCCCCAGTTTGAATTTCATCAGTTCTCAGCTGAATCAGTGCGACTTCTTCTTAACGGATCTACCTCATTTTGTTCTTCAAACTTACTGCAGCACAAATTAGATAATACTGCTGCTCTGCTTAAAAGCATTCAGGGGCGCCTAAATACTTAGGGATGAAATTCAAACTCCTAGGCATGACACTCAACACGGAAGCCCTCCCAGATCTGATTCTTGCCCACCTCTTCCCACCCAAGATGCTCCAGTCCTACTCAACTGCTTCCTGTTACCACACTACACCACATTCGTCCAAATCTCTGTGTGAATACACCATTCCCCTCGTCAGAAATGCCTTCCACCACGATCCTTCTCTGCCTTCCTCACTCTTCCCATCCATGATCACTCAGCTTCGCTGCTTCACTTTGCAGGCCCCTGCTCTTGTGCACCCCTAGCTCAGCTCTCATTATTCAGGAGTGCCAAGGTCTCCATTATAGTTGTCCTTTTTTTCTGCTGTCTTGCTGGACTGTGAGTTCTCAGGACCAGTAATGATGGCTTATTTTATTTTCTGATGCTGATGCTCCGATCACCTTTTCCTCCAATCTGATCCTTTCTAAGTATTTTTTTTATATTTTTTGAACAGGCAACACATTCATCTGTCCAAAAATTCAGAAATTACAGAAAGGAAAAGTCTCCCTCCTACGCCTGGCCCCATCTCTGCTGTCCGGTTCTCCTCCCCAGAGGCCAAGTTGTCAGTTTCGTGTGAATACTTCCAGAGATACAAACATATCTATGGTCCCCCTTTCATACCAAGATGGTATATGTCCCCCTGATCGTGCTGCACCTCTTTTCCACTTACTTATGTACAGTATCCTTGTGGCCATGCCATTTCAGTACATAAACAACTTCCTTAGTCTTTATTTAGTTACTCAGTTTTTTATTGTGGGTGTATCATAATTCAATCAATGAACGTTAGGTTATTTCCAATCTTCTGTGAACGCAAACAATACTGCAACTACTAACGTCACAAAATGTCATTTCACACATGTTCAAGTGTGAGAGTAGAATGAACTCCTAGAAGTGGAATCCCTAGATCAAGGAGTACATGCCTTCACATATTGCCATATTGCCCTTCATGGAGTTAGTAGATATCATCGTATTGATCTTTGTATTCCTAGTCACGATCACAGAGCCTAGAACAGAGTAGGCATTCAGTACTTTTTTGTCAAATAAACAAATGGAAAAAAATTAGTTCTTTTAGTGGAAGCTCCCTTTTTCTTTTTCTGATGCTGTGCGTTAGTGGAGATGTTTCTTCCCATCCAGCACTCAGGTCAAACTGAATGATACTACATGATCAACCCAAATGCCATTATTATTTAAATTCTTGTTTCAACTTTTATTAATGTCCATATTGTGTAACTAATCAAGACCCTTCTTAATTAGCTTGGTTATAAGGTCACAATTTTTATGTTCTAATATAACAAATTTGAATCCTCATATTTTGTGAGATATCTTTAATTATTTTTACTGGATTTTTATTTTTCTTCCTCTGAGCAATTCCTGGAAACCCTTACATAATTCATAAATTATTTCAGGGGGCTGCTTGTGGCTTTTATCAGTCATCAGGCCTCTGTAAGTTAACTTCGACTGTCTTTTAACTATGTATCCCTGTTGCTGCTCCTGCATCCATTGCTTATTAGCTGTGTCACCTCTCTATTCCTGGCTATTCATCTATAAAATAGGGACATTATTGGTTTGTGAGGATTAACTGAGATTATAGATAATCTTAGCATAGTGTTTGGCACATAGTAATGTTGAGAGAGACGGCCCTTGGTGGGTTTTTAATGCTTCTACTCATCTTCCTGGGAATGCCAAGAATGCAAGGCTCCTCTTTGCTAGGGCTGTGTTTATAGTGAGTGACTCTGAGGGATGAAATAATGTCTTCCTCCAGGACAAGGAACAGGTTTACTTACTGCTTCCGATAAAATGGTGGGCTCCCCATGCCCAGTGTTCCTCAGCCATGATGTAAATCCACCAAGAGCAAAGCTTTCATCCGAGCCCGTGAGACTTGGGGGACAAGAGGAATTGACACAAACATGCTGAAGCTCGTGTTGCTTCTTGTTTTGAGTCCTTTGTCTCTTACCCAAGAATCTTGTGTCTTTTATCAACATCCATGAAACAGTAACAGACTAACCTGTTAGCCTTCCAATAGGTAAAATCAAATACCAGACTTGAGAATTAAATGCTTAAGATATTTACATTATTTTTGCTCTTGCTCTTCTAACTTGCTTTTCCTAGGCATTCTGCACAATATCTGTAAGTTTGTGTTTGGGAAGGTAGCCAAAATACATCAATTGCTGCCATTTGCAAATAATTCTACTGTACTGTTGGGGGAAACAAAATGAATTAGAAATAAAGGTGACTTTGAAATCATTGCTCGATTGAAATTACTTAGCCACACTACTATTCAGTTTTAAATCAGTAAGGCCATAGTTTCCCCTCTCCCTCTATATATTTCTGTATAGTTGGGGGTCCTATCTTTAAAAAAATATGTTTTTATTAATTGTTAGAGAGGAAGGAAGAGGGAGAGGAGAGAGAAACGTGGATGAGAGAGAAACATCAATCTCAGTTGGCTGTCTCCTGCATGCCCCTGCTGGGGATGGAGCCTGCACACAGGGCATGTGGCATGACCTGAATCCAACTCACCACCTCTGGGCGCATGGGCCCACGCTCCACCACTGAGCCACACAGGCTGGACTGGGGCCTACTATTTATGTAGTTGCAATACAGGAAAAGTTGCACAAATATAACTGGGCCTTAGTTCCTGTTACTTAATAGCTGGATGACTTTGAGCACTCTAAGGTTCAGTTTTCTAATATGTGAAATACACAAACTAATTCACGATCCAGTAGTCTCAAGAAGTTGGCGCCATGGAATAAAATGTGACCACCTGTGCAAATGAGTTGTTATAACTTAAGACTGTATTGAGTTACAAACGTTAACTCGCCCTAATATCATTGGCTTAGAGCCTATGAAATAAGAAGAAGAAGAAAAAAAAGACATCAACAGTTGAATCAGTCTGCCACACACTCGCTATCCAACAGATGAAACGCCTAAGAGCATAAAAGGAAAACTACAACTCCCAGCAGGCCTTGCTCCCGACTGCGTCATATAACCTCAACTCCCGCAGGGCCCAGCACCCTCTCAGTCCCCACAGCCCATAAACTACATCTCCCAGGAGGCTCCACAGTGCACGACGTCCTTCTTCCCTCGCCTCGTGTCGTCCCTCACCCCGGCCTGCAGCTCGGGGCCCACGGGGGTCCCGCGGTCGGCAGCGAGCGCGCGAGGGGTCGCGCGGCTGCGGAGCGGCGCGAGCGCGCGCGGGAGGGAGTGGAGGCGTCGGGGGCGGGGATACGGCTCGCTGGCTCGCAAGATGGCGGACGAGGACGGGGAAGGGATTCACCCCGCAGCCCCTCACCGGAACGGAGGCGGCGGCGGCGGTGGGGGTTCAGGGCTCCACTGCGCCGGGAACGGCGGAGGCAGCGGCCCGCGGGTCGTGCGCATCGTCAAGTCCGAGTCCGGCTACGGCTTCAACGTGCGGGGCCAAGTGAGCGAGGGCGGGCAGCTGCGGAGCATCAACGGGGAGCTGTACGCGCCGCTGCAGCATGTGAGCGCCGTGCTGCCCGGGGGGGCGGCCGATCGCGCCGGGGTGCGCAAGGGGGACCGCATTCTGGAGGTGTGAGTATCCGGGCTGCCCGCCGCCCCACCCCGCCCCAGACCCTCCGCTAGACCACGCATCTCCCCTCGACCCCTGTCACCCTCGGGCCGAACCTCCACCCTCCCCTGACCCGCCCCCGGGACCCCGGGCCTCGCACCTCCCCGGGGTTGGTTCCCAACCACACCCCTGCTTTTCGCGACCCCCCCCCCCACCACCACCACCTGGCTCCCTTCGGTCTTCAGTCACAGCCCCTGCGCCCTGCCCGCTGTTACCCCCGCCCCCATTCCTTCGGCTTCGTGTCTGCCCCTCTGCCTTCCCCGGGGGCACGCTGCTCGCTGCTCCTCGCCGCCCCGCGCTGTGCTCGTAACGAACCCCTCTGGCTGCTCACCGGCCGCAGCTCCTCCTCTGACCCCGCCGCTGTGTGTGCTCCCCAAGTTCTCACCCGCGGCATCAGAGTTTGTTGCTCTCCACACTCCCGGCAGCCCCGGAGGAGCGCCGTCCCCGCTGCCCTCCGGCCCAAGTGGGGAGAACCTCCGTCTTCTCCTACTTTTCCTCCGGAATCCTCCTCGCTCCGCCCCCGACTCCTTTTTCTTTCCTTAGTCCCCTCTCCTTAGGGCTAAGCACCCCTTCCTACCTATGTTCCTGTCCTGCGGTGTGGCCCCTGCTCCCTTCCTCTTTGTATTCATTCTCCTAGAAGACCTTCTGTTCTGACGCTTGCGTGCGGGTTTGGTTTGGTTTGGTTTGGTGGTGGTGATGGTGGGGTCTTGGACCTGTAGTTTCTCTGCACGGTGGTCTCAGTACATACACCAGGATATTGAATCTGGTGTCGTCTCCACCACCACCACCTCCCTCTGAGGGCATCCCTCTTCGGCCCCCTGTGTTCAGTCCTGTCCCAAACTCAACCTTGTGTTTTAGTCGACGATTATAACCCCCTTTTGGGTCTTTGACCTCCCCGCTTTTGCAGGGCAGGCTGTTTCCACGCGCTCTCCTACTCTGTCTTCCTGTGATCCCACGCCTGACTTTATCCTCATCTTTCTCGCCCCCAGGTTGCTTTCCCTCCCTGCCCCTTTTTATTTAGGCCCCTTCTGCTGCTGCAACCCATCCTCTTTCCTGCTGCAGTCCCGTGCCCCCCCCCCCCCCCCCCCATTTTCCATCCTTCCTTGCCCATTGCATCCTCAATGCTCCAGCAGGATGCTGCCTTCTCTCTGATTTCTGTGCAGACCTCCTCCCCTACTCTGACCCAGGAGCTACACTTGTGTGTTTTTGTACGTTGCATTAAAATTTATGTAGTGGTTGCTGGTTGACGGGCAGGTGGTGTTTGCTCTCATTATCTCCATTCTCAGCAGTCTTCAGCGCTGTATCTTTTTTCTTCTTACGGAATCTATCTTGTATGTTCTTCTCTTCACCCTTCTGCCTTCTCCCTCAGTGCTTGGATTTGCTCTCATGAAGTTGTCCTCATTTTTTATAGATGTAATTATAATTTCCACAGCCTTGAGGCTTTCTTTCCTCTAGTAAAACAGTAGGTTTGCTCAAGGTTTCAGAGCCGATAGGATCTTGAAGGTATGGCGCAGAGAGAGCCCATCCTTTCTTATTCACCTTATGCCCCCTGCCCTTGTCTTTGACGTTTTTATTCTGGTATCCACTCATTCTGTTTCCTCTTACTTCCCATCTCAAGAAAGAGGAGCTCACCAAAGCAGGTGGTTGGAGCTCTTACGATAACTGTTCTCTGACCTTCCTGTAGATAGGTGCTTTTTTCTCTGTTAATGTCCTACATACTAGTTTCTAGTATTCCCTGGCAATATATCCTTAATTTTTTTGAGAGTAAGGGCATTCAGATATAGAATGCAGTAGTGACCTTTTGCTTTGTACTGGGGCACCTGATTTGTTTCTTTCTAAATAACTCAAAGTCTCTGGCTGATGTTTCCTTCCAATAGAAGCTTTTGGAATTATCATTTCCCTTTCCCTTTGTAAGTTAACTTTGGATCCAGCTGTTTGTTTTTACATTTACAACTAAAATGTTTATTTAAAATTGTAATATCTTAACGTTCTAAATCATTTACTCATTATTGGAGCTAAAGGAACTAAACAAATAGTTTTGTAGAAGGCTACAGCTAACAAGATCGATCATTTCATTCATATGTATGCATACTAACATAGTTGCTGGCCTCGTGCCTTTATTGTGGCTTTTGTAGCAGAGTCCAGATATAAACTAGATATACCATAAAGGAGACCTCAAGAGGGTCCTTTAGGACAGGTCTTGCTTTGGACCCAAGTTCTAGTCTAGGTCTGTTCCTCTTCCGAGGAAAAAACAACACGTTTTGGCATATTCTTGGTGGTGAGTAGAGAACTTTGTCTTTCATTGGGCAAAAGAACACTCTGCTTCTAGAGAACCTTTCTCTGGAAGAGTGTGATGATTAGACATCTTCCTGACATTAGTTTTTCACTTTCCTAATTGTATTTTGATTTCCAAATTCTTTGAAGCTTCTCTGCTGTTATAGTGGAAATAGTGATCATTGCAACACAGAAGTGAGCTGGTTGTTAAATTCTCTGAAACCTCAACTACTGTGGACCCTGAACATCATGGGTTTGAACTGCATGGGTCCATTTATATGCAATAAATACCTGTACTGTTTCATTCCGCAGTTGGGATCATGCATTGATCTACACCATTTTATAGAGGGGCTTGAGCATCCTCAGATTTTAATATCTACAGGGGGTTCCTGGAACCAGGCCCCCAAGGATGTTGAGGGAAAACTTTTTGGGAAGTCGGAAGTTTTATGTGGATTTTTGACTGGGTGGAGGTCATTTCCCTAACCCCCACCTTCAGGGGTCAAATGCATACAGTTTCTTTCCGTCCCTTTTTCCAAAATCTGCATCTTTTCCTTAGGTTTTCAAGTGAGAGGAGGAAATCAGTGAGCAAACAGACATGATTCTTGAGGGGTATCTGTGACTGCCACTTGTTTTGATCTTGGTTGGGTTGATACTAATCTTCCTAAAGCATTCTTTAGGCAACATGCCTTAGAGCTTTTTTTCTCGGTCTCTCACCAAGTTCCTTAAGTAACCTCTCTTGTCTCAGGAAAGCTCTCTAAGTTAAGTGCCAGTGGGGGTCAAGGTTAGGCATAGGTAGATTAACTACATGTAGATGTAAATTGTATGAAGTCATAGATGAATGTATGGACTTTGATAATTGCCTTTTAACCAAGACTTTCCCGTATTTTAGATGCTTTACTCCTGTGCACAATAATTTTATTCCAATTTTCATTTATTGCAGTTGTATGGACAACTAACTCTTAGAGGTGTGAAAGAGAGTAACTTTGAGATTTATGGGAATACAAGCTTGAACAAAAGGAAGAGAATCAATTTCTTTTATTTTAAAGTCTTACCAAAGCCCTGTCCTCATTGAATCTTGGAATAGTTGTTAAACTAAATTCACTATAGTTCAGTTTGTCCTTTTTCCCTTTAAAACTGACTGGATTCTGACTGGTTTGGGAAAGAGCCATGCTGCAGGGCTTGGTACTAGAGTAAGAACAAGCCCTCTGGCTCTAAATTTTACTGTAGATGGAATGTTTTCTTGACTAGCAATGTTCGTTTCCACCTTGTAATTTTCCCCAGTGTAACATATATTGAGTGTCTCTCCTTTGATGTGTATACACCTGGAGGCTAATGACTGAAGGATGCTTTCAACAGATAGAACCAAAATAAATATATCTTTGCACTAATTATATAGCATGTGAAGTAACATTTAACAAATAAGTTCCAAGGGCTCTTGATTGATTTCTTGAGAGATACCCTTAGAAGGGTTTAAGTGTGCAGTGGATATGGATATGCATTGTCTATATTTTTTTAGGGATTAGGTTTATCTGTTGACTAGTTTGTTTTGTCTCTTTGGTATTTGGGTAGTGGGGTCTTTAATAAGCATGGACTCCTAAGGTTGGCTTGCAACCATTCACAATTATATTTATGCTAGGCAAAGAGTATATGCCTTCCTCCTAGATAGCTGTAGGATAATATACCATCAACTTTTCCTTGTTAAAGTTAAACCATAAGAAAAATTAGAAGCCATACATATTGAAATAAATTTGTTTATTGAGATTTTTTGAAAATTAAATTTATTAGGGTGATACTGAGTAATAACATTATGTAAGTTTTAGATGTACAATTTTATAATACACTAGAGGCCTGGTGCATGAAATTTGTGCACTGGAGGAGGGAGTTCCTCAGCCCGGCCTGCACCCTCTCGCAGTCTGGAACCTCTCGCTCCTTACCGCCCGCCTGCAGCGGAGGTGGGAGAGGCTCCCGCTACCACTGCTGTGCTCACCAGCTGTGAGCCCAGCTTCTGGCTGAGCAGCACTCCCTCTGTGGGAGCGCATGACCACCAGGGGGCAGCTCCTGCATTGAGCGTCTGCCCCCTGGTGGTCAGTGCGCATCATAGCAACTATTTGTTCTGCCGTTTGGTCAATTTGCATATTAGGGTTTTATTATATAGGATCATCTGTATATTGCATTGTGTGCTTACCACCCAAAGTCTAACCTCCTCCCGTCACCATGTATTTGACTATTGAGAGTTAATTTTAATAACTTACAAATATCTTATGGACATTCCTTTCTTTTGTTTTCTTCCTTTATGTGGAAGTTTGAAAATGATTGAACAAAAAGAGGTTAGTGCCACAAGAAGTATTTTTACGAGTTAAGTGTGAGTCATGTAACATTGACTGCTAAGTACCTCTCAAGAGCTTTCTCAGTGTAGCTGAATTCTATTTGGCTCAGATTTCCCAGGTATTTTTTGAAAATGGTTTAAAATTATGGCTTTTGATCAAGGAATTATTATGGCAGTGATTTTCAAGCTTTAGTGAGCATAAGAATGACTGGGTGTGCTTGTCCAAGGTAGAGTCTCAGGCTCAGTCGTTAGGGGTTATGATTCAGTAGGTTTTGCATGGGGCCTCAAAATCTTTATACTTCCTTGCCAGGTGTGGGGAACATAACCCACACCCAACTCTACTTGGAGTAACACTGCAGGCTTAAATTGTCAGTTCATTTTATCTTTATGGTTATATTGAGAGTCATGAGCTAAGACTGTGAAACAAACTGGTTTTTTTTAGGCTCCTGAATTCCAGTTCTTAGGAAAATGAGTTCAGAAGGTAGTGGACTATTATATCTGATCATCTATACTTTATTGAGTATTGCTAAGCTGTTGTAATAAAGATTGTGATTAAAAGGTAGAATAATCATCGTACCACTTTGCTACTTGAAGTGTGTGTTACAGTTTGCAGTGTTTTTACATTTGATCTTTACAACAGCCTTGTGAGACAGGGAAAATACAAGCTCCTTGAGGGCAGGGACTACATCCATATGCCCCTCCCCTCCCCCCGCGCCAAATGTCTAGTGACACATACAAGGTATTACTCAGTATATACTTGCTGAATGAATGTATTAGTATTATCACTGTTTCATAAGAGAGGAGACTGGGTGTTGCACGAATGAGTGTTTAGAATTACTAGTAAACCTGGGTCTTTGGGTTCTAAATTCAGTGTATTTTCTCTCTCCCAGTATGTCCTCAGGTGAGGATTAAAAAATACATAAGCAAACAAACAAACAAAGTAAAATTGCTGTTCATAGACAATTGTGCTTGAGGTTAGATAAAAAAGGG